GAAAATAAACCTCTATCAAATTATATAGCTTAAAACTGGCTCTTAAAAAAAAACCAACACAACAGCCAGTGGCCAGCGCAGTAACAAGGGTCATTTTAAGAAGATAGAGTTCCCACCTGGCTTTTGCACACTGAGCACGTTCAGCCTGGATATTTGTCAGTGCTCTTTTCCTTCCGGCAGTTTTCATTTATTGGCTGCGAGTTAGGGCTTCCCCTTGCAGGACCTCTCTGGGTTCCTGCCTCCGGTTCCCTCCTGCTTTAGACTGACTGTCAACCTTGCATTTTCCTGGCTTGGAGGTAGTGAAGTCCACTGGAGCAGGAGAGAGCCAGCAAAACTGCTCTGCTGCAGTGTGCAGGGTCCTAGAACCTGACCATATGTGGCACACCAGCACAAAAACGTCCTTGGCATGTGCTTGTGTTCATGCCCTGGCTGTGTAGCTCCAGTCTGAAAGCAGGGTGCAGGTTTAGGGCACCCTGAATTTGCTTGATGACTCCAGCTGGCTGGTCCAGAGGTGGCTGTGTTTCAAAGAGCACTTTTTCTTCTATCAGCTTTTTATTTACAGCACTGAAGTCAGTGGGGTTATGCAAGGCTGGTTCTTTGTTTTTAAGGTCCTTTAAGAAAAAGGCGATACTGAAATGGGGATGGGATGGTTTCTAGTGCTTATTGCCTGGTAATCTAAGGCAAAGCAAGTCCTGCTTTCTGATAACTCAGTTATCTTCTCTTGAAGCGTTCGTGCGCTCAGATTCTCAGAGACTACACATTGTTGCAGTACTTCTTTAACTTTTAATGAGACTGGTTTGTACTTTCCCATGAAATTGCATAAATCACAACAAAGTTAGAGTCAGAGCCATGTCTTCAGTACAGGTGCTGAGTGCTTGCTAACCAAGATTGCACGTAAGTCCGAAGGAAGGATTTAGCCTATAGCCTTGCTTCAGGTGTCCATTAAGAAGTGCTTTTTGTAAGATTTCCTATGTAATACAGGTGTCATCGTCTGCAGCAAGAATCTGAAGTAAAAGCATATGTTTCAGCTCCACGTATTTAGGTCCTCTCTCTCCTCCTTTTACTTTAGAGTTTATTATTGTTTTAAATACCAGGGCAAGGTTTTGACTTAATTCTGGGGGACAATTTTACCTGGGTGAGAATGGCAGGATTTGGCTTGCTGTCACGGGGGAAGCAGGGATAGAGGTTTATAATTGAAAATAACACGTAAAAAGCTTGTTTTGAATTTCTTGATGGAATGTACAGGACTCAGAGGGGTGTTCTGCATCCCCTCAGATACAGTACTTAATATTTGTGCTTTCATTGCACCTTGACAAACATTTCACGTATTTATTGCTTTGCTTGAATATGGAAATATGTTAATTACGGCCTTTATTCCAGTGCCTGCTCTTTTCCTCAGCCTTTTCTATTCAACCCTCTAGGTGGCCCAGCACAATGCGGCTTCTTTTCTTTCAATGAGCTCTTTCCACACTAATAGGGTCCAGGGTGATGTGGAGAACCATGTGCACAAAATTGGTGTACCAACCCCCATCCCTTTGTGGGCATGTCAGGTTAAATTCATATCAGCAGGAGGGTCACTGCCATGATTTTCAATAGCGCGAGATGAGGTGATGACTTCAGACAATGGTGCCACACTCTCCAGTTGGAGACACTTGCCTCACCAGTTGCAGTAGTTAATTAATATGCTAAAAATAGAAGCCAGTGATACAAATCGCTGCCTGTTGTACAACAAAGACTGGGCATGTGTAGCTTTGATAGCCAAGTTTATGGTGCTTGTTATGGAGGGAAGTTAGTTTAGAGCTAGAGGCAATGTAAGACTTTCTGGATGCTGAGCTTTAGTCACTCTGGGCCTCTGGCCATTCGCTCGCTGTCTCATTTGCATTATGAATGACATTAAGGGAACTAACAAGGTTATTGGGCATAGAAATGTTCGCATGTGACCCCACGTGGAAGCAGACCTACAGCAGTGCTAGCTGGCAGGGGCACTGTGGCTCTTTATTCAGCTTCCTAGGAAGACAGTTTCTGGGAGTAGATATAAAATCAACCAAGAGAAAACCAGCATTGGGATAATGCGAAGGTCTTGGTGCAAGACCCTAGGAGGCAAGGAAGTTCGGAGGGCAGGCTGGAGCTGTATCCTTCACTCAGCCCGCTGTGCCTGGCCAGTGTTGAGTGCAAGACATGGGAGCTCCCTGTTGCTCACTACCAGATAGCTGCTGTTCTCTGGGGGTTCAGCGACCATGCATAAGGCTGTGGGTACATCCAGGCCTTTGAGTGGGTTCATTTCTCCCTGCTGCTGGCTCAGATGGTAGGTGGCAGGGTAGGTTTTGATTCTCGGGCACTGCATCATAGCTTCTATAAGGACTGTCGAAACACCAGCAGAATTTGAGAGGTTTCACATAATCTTTTTACTACGTCTTTCCTGAAACTTGAGACAAGGAGGGATAAATTATGGGAAGTCCGTAGTCCATATGCCAGCCATAGTTCCCATGCATAACTAGGAGACGGCTTGGTAAGTGCAAAGATTAAATGCACAAATCGCTTCCCAAATTAGAGGCATGTTGGCCAAGTGCAGCCTCATTCACATCAAATGCAAGCACAAGGGATTCACAAGCCCAAGCAAATGCATTGTGTACAAGAGGAGAAACAGACCCATGGAGATGTAGTCTCCCTTTCCTAAAGAAATCAGTGGGATTGCTGATGAATCACCCTGTGTAGATGAGAGCAGATTTTGGGGATGCAAGGTGCCTTCCATAAACGTTTGAACGTTATTAAATATTGCAGACATTTGTTACTTGCTCTGTGGACCAGGAGGAGACTCTGAACAGTCATGCAAGCACATATATTTTCAACTTTTATAAAATTCTCTCATTATTGGAGTCCTTCAGCCATTTCTGCTCTTCATATTGGACTTGGTAAACCGATGGCCCAACAGTCACGCTTCTTCCATGGAGCCACTAGCTACCAGATCAACCCATAGGAACGAGCTATTTCAAGTCACCCAGTGTCGAGTCCTGGGGCCCCATCAGTAGAAATGGATAAGACGAGAGGCAAAATGGCAGAAAAATAGGGCTGTTTCAAGGGCTTAAAATCCCTCTGTATTTGTGGCCTGCACTTGATGTCTGGCCCGATGGTAAGTGCAACTGCAGGCTGAGGCATGGGGCATAGGGTGGGCTTTGTGGGGAGTGCATGTGCTGTGTGTCCGGTAACCTTACCTATTTTCCTTGGTCATCCTTTTACAGGCTGGATGTGGCTAGCCCTTCCATATGTGTCTATAAATCCACGTGAGGTAAATGTAAAAGCGATTTTGATCATGAAAGTGCAATTCCTGTTACCTCGACGTGTGCTGAGATCAGCATTCTCAGGGCTTTGTCGTGCACGTATGAGTCTCCTGTTGACTCGCTCATTAGTGGGGGTAATAGAACTTAATTTCCAAGATCATCAGCTTTCCTGTATACAGTGGGTTGTTACTATTACAGTAGTGCATATTTACTATGTTTATAATAACGGCAGTCCATATTCGTTGCTTCAGTCCATGGAAGCTTGCTCCTTCAGAAGTGTTCATCAGAGTGTGATGTCTCTAGAGCTCTCCTGGTAGGAACCAGTGTGCAGTGGTGAGCTTGTAGGTGGTCACCTCCTGGTGGCTTTGTGAGACAGATAAACCTATGTCAGGGTTTCAGCTCCTCATTTCCTCTCCCTGCTTCTAACACCCCACCTTCCAGTCCCACTGGGTGAATGTTATGACCTGAGTCCAATTCTTACCTGAGTGCTTCATTCCTCATGGGTCCCAGGGACACATTCCAGTCTGTAGAAGAACATGCTGTCTCCATAGCTATTGCCGTACCTGCCAGCTCAGAGTCTCGGAGGCAGAGAGCAAATGTTCATGTGTCTAAAACGTGAGCAGACATCAACAGGGTTACAGTTTGTACTAGCTGGACAGAGAAGATTTGGGACCTGCCCTTAACAGAAGGGCAGTTTTATGTAACAATCTATTTCTGTAAATAGACTGAATATTGGTTGTGGTTTATTTCATGTGAAGTATTACTTGGGTTTACTCTTCCTTCTTCTCCAGTCCCCCCAGCTGAAAACTGGTAGAGAAGGGTTTGTTAATGAGTTATTGTAGAACCAAAGAAATTAAATAACAAAGCTTCATTTTAGGAAGATCCCAGTAACCTAGAAGATCTCCTCGAAATGCTATTCAGTAAGACACGCCAATAAACTCTGTGGCAGTATCATAAACTATAAAATTGTCTTATTTTGTCACAAATGAAATCGTCTTAAAATTGTCTTAAGGTCACAAGAACATTGAGTTTTATTTTCATTTCTCTCCTGATCTCCATAGATCACAGATGTGTAAGAGGAAGTTTTGAAATGTATTTTCAACTTGTTTATTAAGAAAGAGTACTAATGATAAATGTGATCTTTGTTTTTCCTTGTATTGTGTAGCTGCGGGCTGTAAGTGTTCTCACTTCCTAATTGCAAAGGTGGCAAAGATGAACCGTTAATTAAAACCTCTTTCCCGGACAGGTCTTTAAATGCTCAAGTTAATTAAGTCTTTAAAAATGGACGTGACTAAAAATCTCAGTTTGGTCTTTTGTAATAGCTTATTCCAGTTAGTTTTCCAGTTATAGAGAGAGCTCTAACGTGACCGAGACCCAAATTTCTGACGTAAATAACAGAAAGCCTCCTTCTTCTTTTTCCTTTTCTTTAAAATGAAGGAAAGACTATTAAAAATTGTCCAGGTTTACTTTATGCATCAGTGAGAATAAAAGACTGAACTGCATTTCCATTTTAATTTGCAGATCTGTTACCCCTCCTTTGACTGCTTGTGATGAGCAGTGTGACTAATGAGCTCCACCGGACCAAAAAGAGTGGCACTTTTCCCTTTCTTCTACTTCCCCGGGTTTTATTCTTGGGTGTGGTTTTTTTTATGTTGCTTGCCTCTGATGTTTTGCAGCTTTTCTGGTCTGGGCTTGGACTAATTCCCAGATCTGTTCTTGCAGATTTTAACTTTGCCATGTACCCACCGTCAATGATAGCAACTGGAAGTGTGGGGGCAGCCATCTGTGGCCTTAAACTTGATGATGGGGACAGCCTCACGGACCTCCTGGCCAAGATCACAAACACAGATGTGGTGAGTGTCCCACATTCCTCTTCTCCTTTTACTTTTAAGTGTGCGGTGGAGAACCAGGCCATCAAATCCAGCTTGATCCTGAAAGCCCAGTGGAGTGAAGGAGGGTGGTGCTCCTGCAGCACTCAGTTTGCAGGAGTGGACTCGGCACTTTGTTTGCTATACTTTGAACATCCAAAGCTCCTTGACCTCCTGGGATCAGTTTTCATTCATGCTTTGTTTAGCAGCTTGGCGTGGAGAGCCTGCTCTGCCCACCCTGACTGATGGTCAGGCATGCTGTCTGGGGGAGCTGCCTTGGGTTCTGCGAGCCCAACCACAGTATGCCCTGGGGCGTAAGGCATACCAGTATGTTTGCTACTCCTGTGTTTGCAACCCTCTTCTGGCCCTCGCTGAGTTACCATATAAAAATCCTTGGTAGAAGCAGGTGAATAACGAGCTAATCCTCTAGCACTGGCAGAGTTTGAGGCAGGTGCAACCCAGGCTGTTGGGGATTTTGTCTGTAACTTCGCTAAGCTTGCCGCATGAAGGGCATTTGTGGCTTGTCAGAAAGTCCCATCATCAGTAGGAGACATGAAGCTGATGGCACTTCAGTGGTGCTCAAACTCACTCAAAAGTGAGTTTTCTGGTCTGGGCTCAGCTTCTTGTGGGGACATGAGAAAAACCCAACCTGAGAGCTCTGCATGGCAGTCTTGGCAGAAAGCTGGGAGGACTGAAAGGAGCACATAGTGGCTGGTGCCTCTGCTGCTGCACCCCTGTATTGGTGGAGCACTGCACGGAGCCTATGCTCCTGAAAATCTAAACTGCTTGGTCTGTGTAGAAACAGAAGTTTCATCTCTTGAGAAGCTGACATGCTTTGCCAAAATAAAATTTAAAAGGAAAGAAAACGAGTGAGGCTTTCTGAAATGCAGGCCACTAATAAGATAATGCTTTTTTAACCATAGAAGTATCAGTTTCCCATGTGTCATCTTTAATATGTCCCAACTATAAAACTTCTTCTTGTTTTTATGGTGCAGAATAAGTACACAATGCAATTATTAGATCCATCATAACATTGTCAAGAGAAGGTTTGGGTTTTTTCCAGCAAATAGTTTGAGTTTTGGTTAAAAAGGAATCATCCAGTTTAACAAAAATGGAAGGATTTTACTATTTCTTTTTTAATTTCAAGCTGATTGATCCTAATTTTCAAGTGCAGTCCTGGGGCTTCCCATTTCTTTTGATTGGAACTGGGTTCAAAGGAACATTCAAATTCTGAATGCTTATAATGTAAATCAAGTAGCTGCAGAAATTTAACATATATTTATTTCAATGTAAATGAAGATTTTGCACAGGTAATTGCTTTTCTGTGTTTGTTTCGTAAGTGTTGAGAAACAGTGGTGATACATTATGGTAATCAGCAGGAGCATGCAGGAAGAATCCTATGTAACAACTCTGCATGGCCTCATGCGAGTACTGCAGAAAGCGTACTTGTGCAATTATTATGTTTAGACTAAGCAAATGCATTAAGTTTACTTCATATATGTGGATAATAAGAATTATCTGTTACTGGTACTGATATTGGCAGTTATTGGATGGATGAAGTGTTCTCCTTGGATGTGTTTCTGACTGGATGTAACATGCTAAGTTTTGGATGCCACATCAAGAACATGTTCAGGAGGACTCTTAAGACAAGTGGGCAGGTAAGAAGAAGATTAGAAACCAGGCAGAGGAAGACAAGGGTTTAGAGAGTCTAACATCTTGTTAGCAAAGGTGCTGTCTTCAGCTGAGGTTGTGAGTATCCACAGAACAAGGAAAATGGTGCTAGCACTAAGAGCTTCTTGTAGAGCTCCACGTCTTAGCTCCATGGAATGTCTGAAAGTTGGTGCCCTGCCACTGTGAGTTTACTTGTTATGTGATGATACCAAATTAAGTTGTTTCTGCTTGGCTGCTGCTTATTTTCATGCTTGTTTTTGCTCATGCATGCCCACACAACTGTTCATATCCTTGTGTTTCAAACCCATCCTGGAGATGATCTACCTTATAGAGGAGGTGAAGGACCACTTGTTTTGGAGTCAGGGGTCAGAAAGCTTGCTCAGTTTCTAAGCTGGGTCAGTTCACTGATAGATTTCCAAGAACAGCCTCATAAATGGTTGGGAGAGCTGAGCACTGTAGAACAGGGCAGATGGGAACAAGAAGAATTTCTGTAACCATCATTGTCTTTTTGCTTCTTGTACTAAACTATAGAAATTACAGCCTGACAGACCAACTTGGTAGTCAGGACAAGGATAATGCTGAGAGCAAGGGAGTGACAGTGTGGGGTGAGGAACGGGAACACAAATAGCCCTTATGATGGCAGGGCATGGACAGGGGAGCTTGTAGAGTGTAGAAGAGAATGATTGCAAAGTTTAGGGGGAGCTTTCACAATGTCAGCACCTGCTTCTGGTGCTGTTAAGCACATCACTACCCACAGAAATCGGTGGGTAGTCATTTGGAAGTCCTTTATGAGGGTTAGAAGCAAGTGGTGCTTGGGTACCATCAAAACCCAGACATAGAACACCTACCCTCAGCAGAGCTTATCTCTGATCCTGTGCTATTTGATTAATGGTGTAGTCTTTCCATCACCAGACCGTGTTTCCCGTATGGGTGAGCTCCAGATAAACTTCTGATGTTGTTTCCACAGCATTCCCTTCTTGGAAGGGAGAGTCCAGGGTAGCACTTGCTGGTGTATTTGTATTTGAGGTGTTAGGTGGGTTTTGATCAACCATTGAGTAGCTGGGTTCTGTCTTTCTGGAGATGCCAGGGAGTTGTTCATTGTGGTTCTTCATCTCCTCTAAGAGTTTACCTGTACAGTCACAAGAGTCTTTCCTTTCTTACTCTTTCTCAGCGCAGACCGAAAGTTTGGGTAGCAGTGACAGCATAGTGCTGGTGATACTTAGCTCTTAGGTGAGGGCAAATGAGTTCAACCCATGGGGCACAAGGCCTATGTCACTGAGACCTTGTGTGGTACTTAGCTGTGCCCTGAGTCCCTGGTCAGAGGGAAGAGCATTCCCCTTTCTCCCCTGTAATTTTTGCCAGCAAAGAGATTTTAAGCATTCCTTTCTGATGCAGCCCTTGCTGCAGTAATCTGTTCCTTAAATACCTTTCACTTGGGTTACTGCAGTTCCTGCTGCAAGGGGTCATGTTCATAAGGTCCCTCAAGGCCAGTTACAGCTGCTCACTTGCACAGGCACTTCTCATGATAGGAATTACACCCATGGGTTTTCCTTCTGCGCTTCTCCGTGTGTTTCTTTCCGGTAGCTGGCTGGTGCCTTGCTGCCTCACATGCAAAAGCCCTGCTTGAATCAGGATTCCAGCTGACTGTTCTCATGTTGAGTCTGTGTACTGGGGATGTTTGTGAAGGCTTGTAGGGACACAAGAAAAGTCACAGTAGGGTGTCTTTCTGGAGGAATTTTCTTCCTCCTTGGTATGGTAGAGCCATACTTCTACTTTCCAAGCATGTTGCGAGCATATTACACATGGTGACATTTGAGGAGGGAATACATGGCTAATTGTGCTGTCTTGGGAATTTTTCTGGATTCTCTTCATTTGATACTTACTGGAATACACTTAAAGCTTATGTTCTTTATTATAGGAGATATTGAAGCTTTCTCAGGCATCCCAATGCCTTTTAATGTAAGGCCATTTTACAGCATCTTGCAAATTGGACAGACTTTCTCTTTTACACAGTTTTTTTCTATCCTGATTGTTTCAGTCAGAAAGAAAATACCTGCCAAAACAGCTTAGTAGTTCTTAAGTGATTAGAAGACAAAAAGAAAAAAGATGCTGGTTTTTGCATTGAAAAATTTCTTCATGCCTTTTCTTTGAAATTTAGCAGATGTTTTTTTGTCAGAAATGTGCTTTTTACCACCCTGATGTAAATCTTCCCAGATCTGGCTGAGCCTTTAGAAAAAAATAAACTAAAATATCAGTCTTTCCAAATAACAAAGAACTCCACATTTTACTGGTCACATCTCCTGTCCAAGAGTCTGTCGGCACTGGGTAGAAACAAGCCTTCTTCTCTTTGCTCCTGGTCTCAGCCCACAGACTTCAGAGGAGAGTCTCCCAAGTCAGAACACACTCGGGACAAAAGAAGATTCTGGACAATGTAATTGCTAAAAACTTGAGGTCTTTGCAGAAGTTAGAGGTGCTATCATTTTTTCAAGCTGTTTCTGTTGTGGCAGAGGTGGCCTTAACTCAAAGTGTCTCTCCTGCAAGCTTTGAGGTCTCAGCCTAACCAAAGGTGGCCAGAATTTTTAACTCGGGCAAAACAGTGTATTTTTCATTAGCCAGGTATTTGGAAATGGGAGAAATACTTTGGTAGACACCTTCTCTGTGACTTTTGCATTGGAAAAAATGCGAAAGGGACCAGGACTGGAAATTTCCACGTATTAAAGCCTAAGAGAGATAAGCAACTGAAAACAGGGCCTCAGAGAAGTATGGGGCAGTCTTAGCAATAGGTAGTACTATCAGCCTCATCTGTAAAAGGTATTCTTGGAACAAATGTACTGATTAGGTTGTGTAAGAGTTAGCCTGAGGCTGTGTTAATGAAGAGTAAGGACTATTGTAATATATTTTACTCTGGGACTTGAATGAACAGCTTCAGTTCTCTCACTTCCTAATTTCTGATGCCTGAGAGCTATTCCTGCAGCGACACAATTAATTCAACATCACTCTGTGAATGGTTTTGTTTTCAAAGGGGAGGTTAGAGAAGAGGAAGCAGTGAGAGCTCCTGGGCTTCAGGGGCATCACGTAGTGGAAAAGCAAGGGAACTCAGAAATCACAGTTCTGCAGAGGAAGAACTTCTCCCTGCCCACACATCCCCTGCCATGCCACTGGTAGCCCACAGGAAGCGACAGAGAGCTGGGGGAGAGACCTTCCCAACTGGATAGTCTTCTTTTCCTTTTGGTGTGTGTGATTGCTTAGCATGGAAACAGATGATGGGACTTTCTCATTGGCTTTCTAAAGAATGTCACTGTTGGAGGTGAAGC